CAAGATAGGTTCTATTTGTTCCTTTTGTGCAGCTAGGTGGCACAGTGGACAGTGTCAGGCCTGGAGTCAGGAAGACCCATCTTCCTGAGTCCAAATCCAGCCTCAGATGCTTATTTGACCCTGGGCAAGTTGCTCAACCATGCTTGCCTCAGTTTCCTCTTCTGTAAAATGAGCTGGAGAAGGAAATGGCAAATCACTCCAGGATCTTTTCCAAGTAGACCCCAAATGAAGTCATGAAGAGTTGGACATGACTAAAACCAACTGAACAATAATTTATTTATTTATTCTGGGCTATTGAGAAGGGTAAAACAGACCCAGACTGAGGGCTCTGCTGGTTAGCTCTAGTGGGCTTGGTAGAGCCACTTATTAAATTTTCAGTCCTAGCATTTACACCTCAAAAATCAGCAATCATTGAGAAGCTGGGCTTGATTTATTATTTTGTTGATTGCCTAGACTTAAGAAAGTGTTATTGATGAAGATTAAATTTAAAAGTCTTTAAAAGTACATCCCCACCCCCACCCCTCAGTCGAGTTGTTAAACATTTACCGGCATACTTCCTATTTTGGTTTTTCTACATTGCTTGAGCTCACCAGGAGTGTAGTAGAAATCTCAGGGAATAAGTTAGTCACCCACCAGACTGAAGGTCTGGTGACCACCATCACCACCACCACCACCAACAATAACAACAACAACAACTGACATTTACATAGTGCTTTAAGGTTTGCAAAATACTTTACATCCGTTATCTCATTTGCTCCTTTTAAGTGCCCCTGCCCAGACTTCTGGAGCAAATATAGTATAGACCTGAGGCTGACCTGGGCCAAGGTTAGACCTTTCAGATTTTCACAGAAGAGGCAAAGGCATGCATACTGAGGATCAGAGCAGGTATTTAGGGTTCCTACTTGTTTTGACTTGCCCCTGAAGTCTAGCACTTGCATGACTAAACCCCAGATCAGGCAAGCAAAAGAAACACTTGTGAATAGTCCCCAACCTTTTTTCTCCGGAGAGCTAAAAAGCTAAAAAGGCAGTGCCCAAAAATCACTATCCCCAGAGCCATAAAAGCCTGTTGGGTATAAAAATAAAAACAAAAAAAAAAATGCTGAATAAAAAAAAAGTGAACCATGTCTTTGGGCAAACAAGCTTTAGAAAGGAATGAAAATTAAGGCAATCTTTAATTTACTGCCAGTAACAGCTTCTTTACTAGCATTTAAAGCCAATTAAAGAGTAAGGATAAAAACTCTAAACACCGGGAACTTCCATATAAACAGAAAAACTCACTAATCCAGGAAACAGCATGGCTCACTGCCCAATTACACTTAGCAAGGGTACAAATGGCTTTCCCTGAACAGCAGCCAACAGTTCTCAACAATGAAGCAGGATAGGGGTAGAAAATATCTCCACTGCATAATAATACAGTACTGTGTATTTGCATAGCACTTTCAAATTCAAAATGCTCATCTGAACTTCTGGACAACCTTGTGAGAAAGGACAAAAACGTATCTTCCCAATTTTATAGATGAGAAACCTTTGGTTCAGGGAGGTAGTGACTTGCCCACAGTCACAAAGAGATTTGTTATCATTTTCATGATTATACCAGAGTTCTCCAGCTTCTAGTTCAGTTCCCTTTCTGTTCCCTTCTGCTCTTCTGAGATTACAATTGGAAATCTGCTACTCCAAGATTCTTTCTCTGAACGAAGGATGATGATAATTCAATTAATATTGAGTAAGGTTTTGGATCCCAAGGTAGAGTGCAAGGAAGCACAAAGCTACACTAAGACAGACTGAACAGAAAGAAAGTAAAGCGAGACAGCTTTATTGAGGGGAGATAGTCACAATGACAACAACAACAATAAGTAATAATAATAAAGACAGGAAAGATAGAAACAGGTCAGGTCCACTAGAGCCTGATGAAAGGGGTAACCCAAATCAGGACAGTCTGGGATTTTACAGGGCTCTTATCTAGATCAAACAAGACCAGGCATTGGAGAGGAGTGAAGAGTCTGGGCCAGAGGACTGGTGATAATCCATTCTAGGAAGAAAGCATGGGAAATTGGCAGCTAGTTTATATTCAAACTCCTCTAGTGGGAAAAGGCACTTTCTGCTATTACTGCAGACTACTTTGCCACTTGAAAGCATACCTTCATCTAAAACCCAGGTCAAATGCCACTTATATGATGCTACTCTTACTTTGATAGGGCGACTCAGGAAATTTGAGTAATCTCAGGCCTTCTTCTGAAGTCTTTATGATAACTTTCACCCTAAGTTGGACCATGTCACAATAATCTATCTCTTGGGTTTTATCTATTCTCCAGCCTACTTAGGGAGGACCTAGACTGAATTACTACATGACCTTGGCATAGTCACTTCATTTCTCTGAGGTTCAGTTTCCTCATTAATATAATGAGAGCATTAGATTAGGTGACTTTCAAGGCCCCTTCTTGCTCTAAATCTGTAATTCCTATTTATTTCCCCAATATGTTCCCCTCCCTGCCTTTGCTCCTACTGTTATTTGCATCTGGAATGCCTTTGCCAACATAGAATCTAGAATCATAGACTATCATGGTTGGGAGAAAACGGGGGTGGGGAGGGTGGGAGACTGTTTAACTTGGAGTCAAGAAAGTAGGGACTCAGATCCTGCCTCTCACACCTAGTACCTCTGTGAACTTGGATAAGTTATTTAATCTCTTTTATCCTCAGTTTTCTCATTTGCCAAATAGGGGAAAATACAATCTAATAATGAAATATCACAGGGCTGTTGTGTGTCTCAAAAGAGACTGTATATAAAAAAGCTTTGCAAACTTTGAAGTACTGTATGCATCACACGTTATGATTATCTATTATATTCAACCCCATTTATTTTATCTATTATTTCTCATCTAATGGATGAGAAAACTGAGGCCCAGAGTAGCTTCATAGAAGTAATATTTGACCTGGGCTTTAAAGGAGGGTGTACTTTCAAGGGGCAATGTAGTATGGTGGAAACAGTGCTGATTCAAATCCTATTTTCTATGCTTATTAGTTCAATATTTATGGACAAGTCATATAACCACCCCAGTACTCAGGTCCTAACTGGGAAAATGGGAACAATAAAACCTATGGTATCTATATCTAAGAGTTGTTATGCCAATCAAATGAGATAATTCATGTAATGTGCCATAAATCTTAAATTGCTAAATCAATATCAGTTACTATTATTTAATGAATTGCCTAAGTTCACATAGTTACCACATGAAGAACCAGGACTAGAATCCAAGTCTCTTAACTTTGATTTTAGGATTCTTCCCAGCATGTCATGTTCCTTCTCAAAATCCTTCCAATCCTTCTGGCCCATGCCAAATGCCATCTTTTTCAGGAAGCCTTTCTTGATCACCTGTCTCTCCAGTTGTATATAATCTTTCCTTCCTTTAATCCTTTCCCTACCCCTCCTTCAACACTTGGTTCAAAGTTTGTCTTTGGCATTTTTTAATGCGAAATGCCTAGTAATATCTATTGATCTATCTGTCTGTCTGTCTATCTCTCCATCTATATACACATATATACATGCCCAGCATGTCCCAAAACTCCTTAAGCTACTAAAACTTATATACATATATAAATACATATTTAATTTTCTATTTTATTGTGAACTTTGTCAAGAGACACAAATATTTCAATATGCAAATAAGAAAGAAGATTGTATAAGAAATTATGACATTTTGTTCCACACATTAAAAAAAGAAGTTTATGCCTGTCCCCATGTCTTGCTGTGTGTGTACATATACATACACACATATGCATATGTGTATGTGTATGTGTGTGTGTATATATATATGTATATACATATATATATAATTTAATAAAATTGTTACTCAATTACTCCATTTGCTTATGATTCCTTCTGCAATTTTATGTTCTTTTGTATAATTTTTTAAAAAAGTTTTACTAATGGTTTCTTCCTTCTTCCTTCCTTCTCTCTCTCTTTCTTTCTCTCTCTCTTTCTTTCTCTCTTTCTTTCTTTCTCTCTTCCTTCCTTCCTTCCTTCCTTCCTTCCTTCCTTCCTTCCTTCCTTCCTTCCTTCCTTCCTTCTTCCTTCCTTCCTTCCTTCCTTTCTTTCTTTCTTCTTTTTTTTCTTTCTTTCTTTCTTTCTTCCTCCCTTCCTTCCTTCTTTCCTTCATTTCTTCTCTCTCTCTCTCTCTCTCTCTCTCTCTCTCTCCTCTCTCTCTCTCTCTCTCTCTCTCTCTTCCTCTCTCCCTCTCCTCTCTCAAATTTATTGCTATCCACTAACCTCCTTGCCCAACCCTCTCTCATAAGCACTATAAATACATAGGTCAGTGTCTGAGACTTCATGTTGTTTTCTGTACCTTTGGGTTATCAACTGCCTGGCAAGAAGTGGGAAGTATCTTAGTATTGTAATTTTCCATTCATATGTTACATGATATATTCCTCCTATTAGACTGTAAGTTCCTGGGGGAAGCTTACTGCACCTGACTTATTGTTTCTCCTGCAGCATGTAGCACAAAGTTTAGCTTAGCTCAAATGTACTTTGTCTTCATTAAATATTTTCTGAATTAAATTGAACATTTTAACACATATCACTTTAAAAGAAGATGCACTTAAGTTCCTGGAGCTCCATCAGTGTCTTGGTACTATTTAACTTGCCTCAAAAACCATTTCTTGGTGACAACTTTCTTAATAGTGTGAATCAACATGAATCAACAGTGTATGACAATCGGCCAACTTATTTTTATTAATTAGTATGGGATCAATATTGATGCAACTGAGATTTATACTAAAATTTAAGAAACTAATTGAAGTGTGACTGGTCACTAGACAATGAGAAAATAGATAAGCAATTCACAAAAGATGAACCACTGAAAAGTAGAGGGGCAAAGTAAAAAGGGCAGGGGTTGCTATAGCAACCAGTTCACTCACCTCTTTCCTGTGATGACAATTAAGATTGAAAGAGGCATTTCACAAACAGGTCCCATACTGGAAGCATATTGTTGCTGGAGATATAGAGCGTCCTATGGAAGTTTTTGCCCAGAAGAATGATCTGGCCTGTAAAGCACAATTCAAGGTAAATGTTCCTAGCTTTATTTAATGTTCTTTCCCTCTCTGGGACTCTTTTTTTCCCTCTATTTTCCTAATCTTGATGGGAAATTTTATCCTTTTACCACTCAACATAATTGGGTTCATGTTTCTATATGTGCTCAGGGGTCTGAAGATAATAGGGGCATTTTTCTAATGATAATAAAAAAGCTAGTAGACCCAAGGGGTAGTATGGTGTATTTACTCAAGGAAGGCCCTAGAGACAGCCTCAGAAGCTGCAAGGCCATGCTAGTCTATAACTACAAATATACTCTCACATGAGCAAAAATGTGAAATAGATTGGCTCTCCAGGGCTCTTGAAGTCAGTAGGAAAAGAGATTGTAGTTCACTTCAAGTCTCTATTATTAAGAGCTTTATTTATCATTAGGAAAGGCTTTATTTATGATCAGCAAGAACTTGACTTGAAGAATAACACCTTATGTAATTGAAACTGTAGTGGGAACTTAGGGAAGCAGAATATAATTACCTTGCTTGGTAATTAGCTCAGTTGGCATAAAGGGAACATGGATCACAGAATGAAATGTCCAAATGGAAGTTAGGAACATTAAGTTCTTCTTTGGGTCTTGACACTAGCTCTCTGCATGACCTTGGGGAAAATTACTTACGATTTCTTTTTCTGAGATGTAGAGAAGCAACATAGAATCAAGGTAGTTATGAAAGGAATGCTTTTTTTTTCTCATTTCACCCTTGATGCAATGGAATCATAGATTTAGAGGTAGAAGGGACCTTAGAGGCCATCTAGTTCAGTATTGTAATTCTACAGATGAGGAATTGGCACCCAAATATGTTAAATGACTTTTCTAAGGTCCGACAAACACAGGATAGCAGAACCAGAGTTTGAACTCAGCACCTCTGACGTCAAATTCCTTACTCTTTTCCTCTGAAGCACAGGGTAGAAAATTGAACCCAGTATAGTTTCAGTGAGGCCTCAAGTCATATTGGTCCGGAGAGGCAGAGCTAGGAGTGAACCCAGGTCCATTGATTGCAGTTTAGTGAACAGAGTGCTGCACTTGTCCTCAGGAAGACCAATGTTCAAATCTCACCTTAGTCACTAGCTGTGAGACTCTAGGCAAGTCACTTATGCTGCCCAGGACTCAGTTTCCTCATCTTTAAATCATCTGTATTGGATTTAATGATCACTAAAGACTTTTCCTGCTCTGAACCTATGACCCTATGACTCCAAATCCATAATTGTTCTGACTGTACCATGATGCATGGAAATCTCTTAGATCTGATGTTTCTGCTTCTCTATGTCCACTGATACCTTCATATTTCTGCTCTAATTTTCTTTCTTCCATCTAAGTCATGCTGTCTTTGTTCTTTCAGTGTCAACTTCAGAATTTTTCTTGTGTTCCTGCCCTTTGGTTAAGTTTCTCAGGACAATGACAGATTTAGAGCCAGATGTGACCTCAGACATCAAGTAGTTCAACTCCCTTATTTTACAGAAGCCCAAAGAGTTGAAGTTACTTGTGCAAGGTCACACAAGTGGCAAAAATGAGATTTCTGCAATCTCTCTTTTCTTTTCCATTCTACTTTACTGATGGGTTTGTTCCATATGAACTATTTTGTTCCTAGTTCTGTATTGTGAAGTTTCAAATCTTTTTTTTTAACCTATTTCTATCTAAAGGAGTGATCCTTGAAACTAGTGTATTAATCCTAGGAACTAATCAGAGAAAAAGAGTCAACAATGAAATGTTGAATGTTAAATAGATGCAGCCATAGATAACCTCTTTATAAGGTTTAAATTAATCCCTTGAATGAATTAGAAAGGACACAATTGAAAGTATAAAGAATGATTGGCTATGCCTTAGGGTGACTTTCAAAATTTAGTTCTCTGAATTCTAGGGTCAGACAGGAAGAAGAACCAAACTCCTGATGAGATGAGTAGAAAGGTCATGGAAGTGAGAAATGTGAGGCTATAAGAAGCTACATGTAGCTGGGAGAGCAGAAGTGCAGGAAGAAGCAATGACCAAGACAAGAGACTTGGCCAGTGAGCCATGATTTATGTCAGGGCCAAAGTTGTATTGCTACTTCCCTATTCCATACTCCGCCCCCTGCCCCCAAGGCAGTAATCTTGTATTTCCTTTCTTCTGTTGAGTTTTTTCAAGTGAACTGAAACCTTGTTCTTGTTTTTTTTTTCCCCTTGAGCACAGGAAAATCTATTTATCTTTGTTTAATATGTATATATATTTTTCTATATACCAAGCAAGGTAATTATATTCTGCCTCCCTAAGTTCCCACTACAGTTTCAATTTTAACTAACAGCATTATTGGGAATAGAGTTGGGAAGAGGCAACTGAGGAGGAAATATCCACAAAGAGATACAGATAGACCTAACATGCAATGGTTTTGCTAGAGATGATTTCTCTGGTTGGGAGCTTTGAGCTAACAAAAAGAGAAAGAATTATCGATTCTTTAATGCTACTTTCCCTGTCAGGACAATAAGTCTGAAGTAAATTGAAGGGGAAAATAGGAGTGGCTGAAGAACCCTGATCACTGTGCTATTCCTTTAACACTTAATGTACAAAAAGGATTGGTGAGTGATTTTTTGTCGGTATGTAGAATTGTTGCTGTGGGAACTTCTTCTACCAAGACAGATTACAATGTATTGGTGACTTACTTCAGTTAAATTAGTCCTAGGGTGTATGGAAGGTTCAGGAAGGCCTGGCATCTCTGGTATGAGGGTTTGCTAAGCCCCTTTCAGCTGCTTGTTTATCTTTGGTGCTTACCTTTCACCTAACTCTCATCTGTGGCTTTAAGAAGCTGTAACACATGCAGTGGCAACACCCCAGTAAAACCATCTTGTCAGACGGACTAAATCAGGCCGAGAATAACCCACAGGCCTCAAACCCATCGGTGAATTAGGGGATGTCTGCCTCAACCATGTGAAAATTTCCCTCGGTGGAATGGGTGGATGAGAACAGTTTGTTCCATTGACCACGAAGGCAGCTCAGGTAGACACTGGAGCTCTTAGAGCTTGGTCACACTTTGAAGATGCCTTGGTCATTCACTGCATCCCAGATCATTGCAGGTCATCTCAGCTTTTGTCTTGCTACTGGATTTTGACGACTGGAAGAGAGAGTGAGGCTGAAGAGTTTGTGCAACTCTGCTCCACTTAAATTCAATTTGTATATAAGTCAAGACATGGCCAGTGAGCCATGATTTATGTCAGGGCCAAAGTTGTATTGCTACTTCCCTATTCCATACTGCACCCCCTGCCCCCAAGGCAGTAATCTTGTATTTCCTTTCTTCTGTTGAGTTTTTTCAAGGGAACTGAAACCTTGTTCTTGTTTTTTTTTCCCCTTGAGCACAGGAAAATCTATTGGTCCTTTTCAAAAATAAAGGACAAACAACAAATTTGTCCTACAAAGTTACTGGAAGCATGGAGAGGTTAAGTAATTTACTCAAGGTCGCACAGTGTCACAGAAGAGATTTGAACGCCAATCTTCTTGACTTAAATCCAACATACTATACACTATATCTTAATGCAGTCTGGCATATAAAAAAACTAATAACTATCTATAACTGGTTTTATAACCAGTTTATATACTGGTTTATTCATATACTTACATATTTATATATATTTATTTATATAACACATACTGGTTTAAAATTTGTAAAGTGCTTTACAAATGTTATCTCATTTGATATGTATATAAGTCTAGAAGGTGCTATTATTTTCCCCATTTTACAGATGAAAAATCTGAAGCAGAGATTAAGTGACTCACTCGGATTCTGAAGCAAGATCTGAATTCATGTCTTCCTTACTCAAGGTCCAGCTCCCTATCCACTGTTCCATCTAGCTTCACTACTGTACTGAAAAATAAATTGTCATGGTAAAAAAAAATCACTTTTTACTTTCCTAAAAGAAGTGATCTTTAATAAACATGAATATTTAGCACTCTACTCCTATACCAAAACATAAATATACACCATTAATAGAATTAGTTTAAATATGGGGATTTTCATTCAGTGTTGATGTCTTCAAGATCCTCAGAAAAACCCCATATCGCAATTCCAAAATGTCTCTCACTCTCTTAAAGCCCTCCTGTACAGGCCTACTGTAGCTTAAGGATTCTGATAAAAGCTCATAATGCAAATAGTCAATTTCCTATACAATATATTCTCATGTTTTATTATCTTTACTGAAGTAATCACTGCTAAACAATAAGTTAGTGAATCATTTGGCAGGAAAAATATTGAGTTGTAATCCAAACCTTCAGTCTTCAAATTCTTATAAATTTACCAGCACATCATCATTGTATGGTGGCTGAAATATAGCTGAACTCTTGGTTCCAATGATGCTGTTTCTATTTTTCATAAAGCAATTTTGTACTCTTATTTCTGTAAATTCTCTGGTTGGATCTCTGAGATTAGGTCGGTTGCTATGTCTCTGCCTCTATCTCTCTCCTTGCCACCATCTTTCCAATTACTCAGGACTGCAATAATGCTGTTATCCTTGATTCCTCATTCTCATTCTTTTCACATATCTAGTCAATCACCAAATCTTATCCAAGAAAGGACTTCTTTTGGATTCATTGCCTTCTTTCTTCTCACCCAGCCAACACTATTTCAAACCCTCTTCGTCTCATGCCTAGAATATTATTACATCATCCTAAATAGCTTCCTTTTCTCAAGTCTTTTCCCATTCCAGTTCATGCTACATGCTGCTGCCAAAGTGATTTTCCTTAAGTGCAGAACTAATCATCTCATTTCGCTAGTCAGTCTACCCCAGTGTATCTCCAGGAAAAAAAAATTGAAACATATCCATTTAACTTTTAAATCCCATCAGTACCAGAGCCCATCCCATCTTCCTAGCTTCATTGGACATTATTTCTTCTACTCACTCTCTGCAATCAAGCTAAACTGGTGTTCCCTTTATTCCTCACAAGTGATGCACTATTGCCCTCCATATCTTTATACTGGTTGTCCCTAGTGTTTGCAAAGCACTTGTTCACCCACACCTCA